AGCTTTAATACCTTCCATGTTTAATAGAAGTTGTAAGCTGAATCTTAAAACTTGTTGTACATTATTCATAAAATCATATGTTTGACGTTAATGGTAAACCTTTGCTTCATCAGATAGAACCAAGAATAACGTCATAAAGAATCAAAAGCACAAATAAAGAGTAAGAAAAGACCCTGCCAGAAATCATTCTAATAACATTGTCTAGATGTTTAATAAGTTACTTTAATGAATGACTATAATGCTATATCAAATGAGAATGTATTCACTTGTTGAACAAGAAGGGAGCCTTTTATCTACTGGACCTAACAGATGACTCACAGAGCATAAGAGAGAAAACACTACAAATAATGAGCATAACAATGCAGCAGGAGAAAGAAAGAAGTGATGTGTCAGTCAACACTTGTTGACTACCCTCTCTTACTAATTAATTAATTGGACATTCCCATGAGAGGACACGCAGATTATCAGAGGAGGTTATTAAATGTTGGTCTTTCCCCAGCTGCTGCTGTCCTCCCTGAAGACAGGCCAAAAAAAGCTGGAAGGATCCAATGTGTATTCAAACAGATCAAGGCTTTTGGTTTAATTGCCATAAAGAAGCAAGCACAGCTCTGTGTGAGCTCTGAATACAATAAATGATGTGATACCCTGCAGATTATACTACACCCCAGGATGTGAAAAGCTTCATATTGGGCTGTGTTTGTGCAAATACCTGGCAACATTTTTAATGATAAGGGTTAAGATTCAATACAATGCAATAGATTGCAGTTTAGAATTATTGTTTTTTTCTTTTTAATGAAACCTTATTGAATCTCAGACTTACCTTATTGTGTATAAAATGCATTATGCATTACCTTAAATCAGTAAAAAAAACAAAAAAAAAATGTATGGCAAGAGGACAGTTTAAAATCAATACAATATTTGAGAAAAAAAATAACACAAAACATACAACCACGATACTCAAGTTGATCAATATTTTCTAACACCCCTTTACAAAATATTCACCTGAAAACCATCATGACCTGAAAGTGTTTCCTCAAAATCTTTGAACCTTCGAAAGTAAATAAACTAATAAACTAAACCAAGTAATGTTTTGACGAAATGAGCCATGTTCTTCTGTCAACCGCACCTTTCACATTTAAATGTTTAAAAAACGATCTACATGACGGACATGAAAGATCTTATTCAGAAAGCTAAATGCACAAAACAAAGATTAAATATATATATATATATATATATATATATATATATATATATATATATAGTCCAGCTAATTATAGAAGAAATTGCTAGGAAACTAAACTGTTATGGCTCACATCCTAAAACAGAAATAATGTGGAGTAGAGTTCCTCAACAGGTCAAACAGTGTTTTTACCTGAATCGCAGGTGGAGTGGTTGTTCTGCGCCTCCTCCTGAAGCAGAGTAAACCACACAGCCTGCACCAGAGGTAGGAGGCAACCGCACACATGCTGTTGACTAGCCAAATGTCCCAGCCTGTGACAAAGTTCTCCATGGCCTTAACTTTCCTCTTCATCCTTCCACTCTGGCTTTTCTCTTCCTATCTTTAACTACAAAGGACCTCTTGGAGCTTATGGAGAAGCGTCTCAAGTGGTGATTCAGAGGAGATGACAGTTCCCTCCCGGGGTACCGACCGCCCAAACTTTAAGACTACACTTTGCTCCACAGTCTCTGTTAATTCAGTCATCACTCCCATCAGCAGAAAGAGCAAGAGGACAGCCAGTTTGTCCTCGTGACAAAAGAGTGACAGGTGCCAGCAGTGGGTGTCTGACAGACTAACTCTCACTAGCTTTATCTAATCCTTATATTCTCACATAAAAGCAAGGCTTTAATTCTCCCCTCAGAAAGTGATTCTGAATTAACTTTGAGGAAAAGTTAACCGGAAGCAAAATAAAGATTGAACACAGCACTGACATTGAAAACTGAGAGAATTATGAAAGGGGCTGAGGTCTCGCTGTCAACACACACACTTGGATGTGGTGTCAATAAATGGCCTGTGCTATTGAATTACTCCCCTAAATGTCACGCAGACTTTCTCATGGGTGATTACACGGTTAGCTCAACTGAGGTGGTTTTACATTCACTTATATTGTTTGATCCCTAAATCATAGCCATATGTACATTGAAATATAAATGCGGAGACTGACAGTTGCACTCACTCAATAAAGGCTCAAAGGAATGAAAGGAATGACATTGAGAAAATGGAAACTAATTCAGAAACACTGCAAAAGGAAATGCAAACGTTCCAAACAAATGCAGCGGCTGAAACACGCTGCAAATGAAACAAAACATGCTGCAAAAAGCCTTAACAGCTGCATTAACATCAAGCATGCTGCAAATACATAAATTATAAAAATTTAAAACTTACATATTCAGAAAACAACTGCAAATACATGAATGCTGCAAATCCAGCCTTTTTAACAAAAGTGCTCCAGGCCTGAAGGGGCACTTTGTGGGACAGTTATTTATTAAGGTATAGAGAGTGAGGGAGACCAGGCACTGAAAGTTTTGTTTAGATGGGAAAATGTAATCATTAAACAACACAGAATAACATCAGGGGATTTAAAGTGAATCCAGCCTGGATTTTGACACAGGGTATGAGACAGCTTAGCAGGGGTTCTGCAGCTTGCAGCCTACAGGATGCCTGGAGCTAGCGCTAGCTGTGGCGCTCGAGTTCTAGCACATTGCTTTAGTCATCCCCGCTGACAGAGTCCAGGTTCGACTTGGCTGTTAATCTCTTAAATGCAGTTTAATATTACTCCTGGATTTTAAACTTGATCTATTTGCAGTTGTTTTCTGAATTTCTGTGTTTTGTATTTGCAGAACATTTGATGTTTACGCAGTTGTTTCTGCTTTTTGCGATGTATTTATGTAATTTGCAGCACATTTTAGACATTGCATCTGTTTTGGACATTTGCATTTCCAGAGTTTCTCAATTTGCTGCGCGTTTTTCTTAATGCAAGTCGTTTCGGCCTTTGCCAAGCACTTGCACCTGTCATCCGCCGTATATAACAAAATAAAATGCAGATTAATATTGGAGCATATATTCTATCATAGATACGTGCAGTATCTCTAAGGACTTTCAAACTCAAACATGTAACCTCTATTATGTATCACCGACACTCTGGGTATGATAGCAGCATGGCCTCAAAGCCAAAAATGCCTCATCTGGCTGGCAGTAGGCAATCATAGTTATGTACAGCATGTCTGGTCTATCATAGATACGTGCAGTATCTCTAAGGACTTTCAAACTCAAACATGTAACCTCTATTATGTATCACCGACACTCTGGGTATGATAGCAGCATGGCCTCAAAGCCAAAAATGCCTCATCTGGCTGGCAGTAGGCAATCATAGTTATGTACAGCATGTCTGGTTATCTAGCCAGCCACTTCTGACTTCTCCAGCGCCTCTGCCAAATACAATAATGAGCTCACTTAAGGATAGAAGCTTTTCTCTCTGCCCTCAAATGAATCTCTCAGCTGACATGGTGTTGAATAAAAAGAAAACTGATCTTTAATTGCTCACAATGTCTCAGTCTTAGTTTGCTTCACCCTAATAAACTCTTTTACATTACATCCTTAACCCTATTTTTGGCATTCTTAGGTCAATACATTTATTTAAATATTCCATTGAGATTAAATTGATTTATCTAAACTACCATTCATTTGACCACACTTGAGTATTGCATTAGCAAAACCTTCTCATAATTTGCTGTTTTATGTTCTCCTTCTTCTGGTTAATATTGTGCTTCTAAACTCTTAACCATCTAAATTCAACTTTAAAATGCTCATTACTTGAAAGAAATACCTTTCAGAGTTGTGGGAAATAATAATCTTTTCACCAGAAGGCTTCTGTGTTAGCATATTGTTTTTAAAATTGTGACTTTTACCACCCTCTGCTGGTGCTTTTGCAGAATCAAAAGGCTGATTCAAAGAAGATATATTTCTTCTGCTTAACATAGCCTGAGTATCTTTCATACATGATTCATTGAATTACAGCTCAAACTTCATCTCCCAGAAGCAGCGCATGAATTTCACCTCCTTCAAGTATGGGAATAAAGCCAACTTGGTCATGTTTCGTCTGTTGGCACATTGAGGAGCTGACTTCAGCTTGGCCATTCTCCCTGAGAGCAGTCTTCACGGCCTGGTTGACCTCTCTGGTGTGTTTTCTCTCGGATGGGTCTTTTATGTGAGAGGAGAAAAAAAAGAGGTGACAGGCTGCAGTAAAAAATCACTTATTTGTCTGGGGAAAAACACATTTTTATCAAATGGGAATGCAAATACAAATTCCCTCTCTTAAAGTCATGTTTTTTTCCCATTTTCAAACTACATAAAAACATTATAGGTTCGTTTTTAACACCTGAGAAACCTTCAAAAGTGTTTTTCTTATGCTTGGCTGGTTGATCGTTGCAAAAATCAAAATAATATATAATATTGAAAAGAATTCTAATAATACTGACAAAATAATGAACATAATTTCTCAATTAATAATGATTGACCGGATAACTTTCATATGGCTTTATCATCATCATTTATCACCGTCAGGAACGTGCTGCATTGACGGACCATACCCTGTAGTACGAAATAATCCTATTGACTTGCTTTACAGTTTGAGAAATTGTTTCTGTCACATTTGACGCGACACGTTGGTGAAGACCAATCCAATGGTCTAACCAGCAGAACCAGCAACTGAAATTCAAGGGTGTTCATCTTTACGTATAATAGTATTTGTTGTGAAAACACGAGCTACCGCAGATACTCTGATGTCGGACCTTCCGCACAGCACGTGAAATGCACACGGACAGGAAGTATACAAATTAAGTTAAACAACAGAAATATTTTAATAAAACACAAAAAGAGTTAAATAAGAGTAGAGGCGGGGGATTCGCATGTTTTCATAGATTTTTTTAAAATTTTATTTAGGCAACTTTTTAATCTGACAGCAGTGTTTTGGTCACGTGATTAAAGGTTAAAAGTTTCGCGGGTATCAAAAATGGCGAGCGAGATGACAGCTACAGCACCGGACTCTGTTCAATGTCCGGTTTGTTTTAAAGACTTCGAGCCTTCCTCAATCAACGGACACCTCGACGTGTGTCTGCTGGGCACCAGTGCCCACAGTATCCCGTTAACAACAGACGACAGTGAACCTCCTTTGAAGAAATCTCGCATTAGTGGCGAGGCTGTCTCGCCCCGTGGTGTCAACAGACCTTCGGCCAACTCACCCCCTTCGTCCTCTTCCTCCGCCTCAGTGTCTGGCACACCATCATCGTCATCTTCTTCTTCTGTATTTTCACTGTTTCAGGCCAACAAGAGTAAAGTTCCGTCTCAAAGTGAACGCAATGGAGTCCTGTTAGGTAAACAAAATGAGGTGTCTGCTGTCAACAAGCGAGTTAAACGTAATTTACAGATCGACTCGGAGCCTGAACCAGCAGGTACTACTGGATCAAGCGAACCGATCGTGAAGGCTTCACATAAGTTCCCTCCGCGGAGCCTTCTGCCGATGGACAAGCCTTTAGCGGAGACGCTGAGACCACACACACTCGAGGAGTACTTCGGCCAGAATAAAGTTGTAGGACAGGAGACACTTTTTCGCTCACTTCTGGAATCCCAGGAAATACCATCTTTGATCCTCTGGGGTCCACCGGGATGTGGAAAGGTGAGGTGGGACTCTTAGACTGAGGATAGGCCTACTTTCTCCCGTAATTAATTTTCCCATCTATGAGTCATATCAACAACATGCTTGAAAAACTACATGATGACAACAAGATTTCTAAACTAGTATTGTTTTCTCAGCATTCAAAAAGTATACCAATTTATTATTATTTATACTATATTATAAATTGAAAACACTTTTTATCCGTAGACATATAATAATAATAATAATAATAATAACTTTATTTATATAGCACCTTTTTAAAAACACAGGTTTACAAAGTGCTTTGACAAACAACAACAAAGCAAACTAAACCAAACACAGAAGAACATTAACTACAGCAAGAACATAACAAATACAAAATACTAATAAAAATAATTAAATACAATTCACCAGAAAAGAACCCAAAGTGCACGATACCCTACAGACATATATAACCCGACCATCATATAATATTAGCAGATAATATGCAGAATAAATCAGCCATGACTGTAGTTTAGCTGTATTAATCTTCCCTCTTTCTGACTGGACAAAGAGAAACTTGCATCCATTAAAGTGCGTTGAAAGAGTAAGTCATCACGTCTCTGGCTGTCAGGTTGGGGCTCCTAAGTGTTACTCATCCCACCTGAATACAGCATGTTAATGACTTCTTAGGCATGCCAAGCTACTAGCATGGATTGTCATACAAGCAGCTTCCCATACTTGAAAGCCTCCAGGACTCACAATGCAAGAGTTATCTTTGGAGCTTGTTAGGATTTAGAGTGAAAATGAGATTTTCAAAGGCCTCAGAGTTAGGTGTATAGAATCCACAAGGTATAACACATGTTTCCTTCAGATAACTACATTTGTTTTTCTATATGCTGTCTTTCAGACCACTCTGGCTCACATCATTTCCAGCACCAGTAAAAAGAAGGGACAGCCCGTTTTGTGACTCTTTCTGCCACCAACGCGTCTGTCAATGATGTCAGAGAGGTGATCAAGCAAGCACAGAATGAGCTACGACTGTGCAAGAGGAAGACTATCCTGTTCGTTGATGAAATTCACCGCTTCAACAAATCTCAACAGGTGGAGTATTGAGCCAGAGAGATGTGCTCTGGTCAGTTTGTTTTGTAATCGGCAACTCAACAAAATCAAGCCAGCGTTTGCAATAACTGTTGAGGCTGAATTATAAAAAATGGTGACTGGTGCCTGCTTGGAGTGTTTCAATTGACAAATCTCAGTGACTCATTTAGGGCTCTGCTTACTGCTTAATGCTTTTACTTTAACTTTGCAAACTACTACATGTATAAACATTTATATCACAACTAGCAAGGAGCTTCTCTCATTCTCTTGAACTTTTGCATTTAAAGATATAATACTTGTGTTGTCAGTTGTTTTGTCTTTTGATTATGATTGCTAAGTGAACAACTGGAGCATTTTAATAGCAGTATCACAAATACTTACTTTTGAATTTGTTATTTTATTTGTTCATTGTTTCACTTTTTCCTGCCATGTTTGCTTTTTTTTTTTTTTACTCCTGTTTCCTTTTGTCCACATGTAACTGGATCTGCAGGACACCTTCCTTCCTCACGTGGAGTGTGGGACCATTATTCTGATCGGGGCGACCACAGAAAATCCGTCCTTCCAGGTGAACGCTGCCTTGCTGAGCAGGTGCAGGGTGCTGGTTCTGGAGAGGCTCTCTGTGGAGGCGATGGGATTGATCCTGGACAGGGCTGTAGATACACTGAGGATCAGAGTGCAGGGACGACATACTGAAGATACAGACCAATCAGATGAATATGGGTAAGTTCTGCCCTGGGACTCTCTCCTTCTGTCGTTGACTCATTGGGAGGGCACTGGTGATTGTTGGAGCTAAATTAAATTAAAATTGCCCGAAGGTATGAATGTGAGTGTGGCTGGTTGAGTCTCTCGATACCCCAGCCCTGTGATCGACTGGCAGTCCAGGGTGTACCCTGCCTCTCGCCCAATGACAGATTTCAGGGAGTTGGCTGTCCTGAAATTTTCTAGAAATGTTCAGGAATGCAATAGTGTTCCCTCTCATGCACATTAAGAGTTGGTTACTTCACATAGAGAAAGGTTTTGTTCGGCTGTTTGCGTTGTTCGACGGTTTGCGTTCACATTTAGCCTAAAGACCCTCCGGGTAGCCAAATCTCCAGAGTTCTTTTGTAGATATCCATATGTGTGAAAAGGGTTAGAATTAAGGAAGGCACCAGGGATATTGATGATGCCTCCTGCTTCGTACTTGTCTGATGTTGTCACCATTGGATTTGCCTCAGGCTCTGAGGAACTAAAAACCGTGGCCGCCTATAGAAGGCTTGTCAGCAAAGAAGGTTTGAGTTGAAGGTAATGGGAAGTCTTTGGTAAGGACAAGTAATGTTTATGTATAATATCCGTGATGGATCTGAATTTGTAAACTCAAATTTATGTGTAATATAAGCACTTCCAATGAGTTTAATCATAGGAATATTTTATATTTATTTTTGTTATAAAATACAAATTATCATCTTCACAAACACTTTTTGTCTTATGTAGTTTTTTCTTGCAAAAAAATCTTTATTTAAGAGTTTTCACATTCTGACATTATCTCTCATACATGTTTTCATTTTCTTAGGTCAAATATTTTCATTGAACAAAAAGCCCTGGACACTATAGCCTTTCTTTGTGATGGAGATGCAAGAGTCGGGCTCAACAGCCTGCAGCTGGCTGTTCAGGCTCAGGTGAACTTGGTCCGGCCTGACTCATCAGGACATGATGGTTCTGAGAAAATAGTGGTGAAGGAGGAGCACATCAAAGAAGCTCTTCAGAGGTCCCATATTCTCTATGACAAAGCAGGTAAGCTCAGATCTACATGTGTTGTTTTATGTTCAAGCTTTTACCAACCAAAGGGAGGCCTTGTCCAACGTCAGGGCACCCTAGATTTCAAACTAAACTACCAGTAAATTCTGGAGCTCAGGATTATTCAGAATGCACCTAAACTTAATAAGTGAAAATGAACATTCAATAAACATAATGTGTTCGATTAGAAGAAGTCTGTGTGATGTTGAAATGCTGACATTGCCCTTTCCAACAGTTTCATTGTGGACAAGAGACAAAGATGGTTTCAACAGAATCAAAAAGCATGTCATAGGATTATTATAAGGGGCCTTACAGAGGGTTGACATCATTTCTTTTCAATATTTAAATCACCTGACCAATATCTTATCTTAAATTTATAAATAACAGGTTTACAGCCCAACATTTTACTTCTATCTACTGTCTTGTTACAGGAAATTGGGGGGGGGGGGCAAAAAAGTGAATACCAGTGGGGGCTTTTTACTGTTTATAGCTGTGTTCATGGTTGCTTAGAACACACATGTTTGTTGTGTTTGTGCAGAAACACTGGGGGGTATTTCAGTGCACACATACAGTAGGCTTAGCCGCAGTGTCCTCATAAAATAATTAATGAAACCAGCACGGTATGAATCAATGTTGCTTCTACTAGCTCCAATATCTACAGACTATAGTTTCAGATGATTTACACTTTGCCACCTGAGCCACCTCCCTGAGTATCTAATGGATAGCTATCGCTCCCCTTCATCCTACATAATACTCAATGAGTCCTTCATGCGATCCCGTTACACAACACGTCAGCTGTCCCTCTGAGATTTACTGTTCCCCTCACAGGGGGGATGAAACTGTCCCCCAGCTTGACAAATTGCCTTAGTGGAGACACTGTTCTTCCCCTCCTCGTAGTTTTATACTGTCTGATAATTCTTGGTTTCTATGTGTTTGTAAATGTTCTAAAAATGAACAGCAGCTTGTATTGTGTGTGACCAAACAGGTGAAGAGCATTACAACTGTATCTCAGCGTTGCATAAGTCTATGAGAGGCTCCCATGAGAATGCGTCTTTGTACTGGCTGGGCCGCATGCTGGAGGGCGGCGAGGACCCTCTCTATGTGGCCCGCAGACTGGTCCGTTTTGCCAGCGAGGATGTGGGTAAGTGAAATAATTCACTTTATTATCCCAGCCTTTTAACTGCTGTATGACCTCCAGCTACCTATAAGGTTTTCAACAATGCTTCTCAACTGGTCCCGCCTAAACACCCACCACCATTAACTTCAATTAAAATCCTGACCCAAATTTCTGTTATTTTTTTCAACCAATCAGATTTATGGAATGAAAAATAGTTCCATTTTGACCTCCAATGGTACGAAACATGTGATGGAACAAAAAGAAGGAACAAAATCAACATGTTTTAAGAGCGCTTAGACATTTTTACACTTTTTATTTCCCCCAGTTTCATGTTCTTGACCCACTTAAAACGACTCAGCGACCCACTTTTAAGTCCCAAACCCACCAGTTGAGAACCACTGGTTTAGAAGATGTTATTAGGTTTGCAAATGTGTGTTACTACTAAATGATTAGGAATGTAGCTACATTTTGAGAGTTGTATAAAAATTCATAGAGGAGTGAAACATTTTCTTATTTACAGCAAAGCAGTTTTTAACCTTGTTTGAAATTCAAATCAAATCAAGGCCGAGGTACTTGCACTCGTACACTAGTAGCTGCAGTGTTGTTATAGTGATTATTTTGACACTTTGTCACAAAAAAAACAGTTTTCTAGAGTGAGGAAAAAGCTGTCTTTAAGTAGAATGACCAAGTTGTTTATTAAAATGTTCCAAACAATTATCCTTAAACACAATTTAGGACTACTGGCAGCTTTAACTGTTTTATTACAGGAAAGAAAATACTGATTGAATAAATATGCACCCAGTGAAATCTAAGAGAAAGAAGATCCTGAGCCTTTAATTGAATGTACGTAGTCTGACCAGCTGACCTTGTCTCATGTTTCTCTCAGGTATGGCTGATCCTGCCGCTCTTCCTCAGGCTGTGTCTGCTTTCCAGGCCTGTCACTTTATCGGCATGCCTGAATGTGAGGTACGCATCCCTGAAGAGATCTGAGTCTTCCAGTGCCGCAAATCAGTGGAATTATTAGGCATCCTTACAGTAGTTGCGTCACAATGTTTTTTATCACTGTTTTTTCTCTCTGTCTTTAATCCGCTGCTCTTCAGGTGATCTTGGCTCAGTGTGTCGTCTATTTGGCGCGAGCACCCAAGTCTGTGGATGTCTACAATGCCTATAGTAACGTGAAGACCTGTTTGAGGAACCACAAAGGGCCCCTGCCTTGCGTTCCTCTGCACCTTCGCAACGCCCCCACCAGGCTGATGAAACAACTGGGCTACGCTAAAGGCTACAAATACAACCCGGCCTTCAGTGGCCCTGTGGAGCAGGAGTACTTACCTGAGGAGCTGCGGGATGTAAACTTCTTCACTTGGACACCTTCAGGCCCCTGAGGACCCGTGGTAATGACTGACACAGCTTGGCACTATTAAACTAAGGCTGCTAAATAATCCCAAATGTTGGGATAAATGTAACTTATTTTCTGCTTTTGTAACAAATTCTCATTCAATTTGAAGACTTTGAAATGCTTTCTTTGTACATTTATCAATAAGATAGGTTTAAAAAAAAAAAAAAGGATTAATATCATATGAATCCATCAATGTAACCATCATGTTACGGTCAAAGAATCTCATAATAATGTGTGCCTTTCTAATTCCAAAACACATATTTAAATGTTTACCATGTTAACATTTCTTTTTCTTTTTTTACATATGTTCTGTCCTTCTTAAACTAATTAAAATGGTTTTTTTATGTTGAAATCTGTATATAATTAAATGAAATACAACACAAATATAAAATGAAGTTTTATGACACTGTTTAATGATCCTTCAGTTCGTCTGTTGTTGTAACTTCTTCAGTTTTGGGCCATGGTCTGAAGGGACATAACACCAGAATCAGTTTGAATATTTCACAAACATAAGAGGACTATGTTACTTAATGTGAAGTTCCTTCACCTCACTGATCCAGGGGATGAAAGACGCCACACGGGTGAACATTGTCGGCTTTTTGGGTGTATTACAGCCTCGTCCATCCACAAAACTTGTAACCCCTTCCACGTACCACTTGCCATCTCTGCCCTGACAGTTCAGAGGGCCTCCGGAATCTCCCTGAAAATAATGTCAGATATTGCAGCAATGTATTAAAAAAAAATGCTTGTTTCAGAAAAAGCATGCAAGGTGTGTGGTTGTTCCTCACATGGCATGCTGACTTGCTCTCTCCTCCTGCACAGACCATTGTTGTCTTTGCAGAGCTCCCCCACCAGTCACTCTGACTGCAGGTACTGTGATCCACTACAGGAAGTATGGCTTGCTGCAGTGTGATAGCCCGAGGACCACCAGCTACAATGAATGCATTAAAACAACCATTTGAACATTTGATTCATCACTACATGTGCCAAACATGAAGATTTATTTTTACAAAAGTGCACAAGCTGGGTATTGGGATGCTCGGCAGCAGGTCTTACAGAGGAGTCGACCCCAGCCGGTGACATAACAGGGCTGGTTGTGGGTGAGAGTAGCGCCGTGCTGTGGCAGACAAGCTGGCTGAACCTTATCATTTATAACAGCACTTTTCTCCAGTTTAAGCAGAGCAATGTCATTCCTACAAATCAAACACATCACCTATTAAATTGTATTTAAGTGAACAAAAAGCCTGCTTATTTTCTACATGTGAAGATATTATCATTGACCCTTAAGAAATAATTGTGTTTACCCAGCTGCTGCTCAACTAAAGCTCCCAGGGGAGGCACCTTTCAAGGACATGAATGTTTTATTACCTACCCACAAGACGCACAGTTGCCGTTCCATTTGGGATGGATGAACATTTTTGACACCATTATAAACTGTTCCGGTCCCTCTTCCTTGTCCATGTCATGCTCAGCAAGTACCACCCTGTATGTGTGGAACCTGTTGTGTTGTGTAAACATCTCAAAATTGAATACAAATGACACAACATAAAGAATGATAAAGAAACATTTTGCATCCCCTCAGTGCACCATGGTTCATTCTTGCTTTAATTATGCTATGATTTGATTTTTGCATGCATAAAAAACACATGCTTAAACAATTGTTTATCTGAGAATTGAATGCTACAAAAATATATGTTTCCCTCACGTGATGCAGTGTGCAGCAGTCAAGACCCAGTTTGGAGCGATAAGTGTTCCTCCACAAGTTGGGAAGAAAGACTCCAATGAAATCTGCCATGGCCAGCTGTATGGGCGGGCCTCTTCCCCATTCACGACACGGCTGATGTCGGGCTTGGCGCTGGGGACACCACAACCGGACACTATAACAAAAATGAGACAGAGCCAAGAGTAAATGAAGTGCCTTTAGGGGTGTCATGCTCCGATATATGTACTAATTTCCAAGCAACACATGAGTGTGTTTAATGCAAACTCACCAGTTGGGACAACCAGGAGGAGGACAAGTATCAGTTCCATTTCTAATTCATACAAAAGGACTGGATCATCACACAGACCTATTTATGGGCAGCAGTCCAGACAGTAACAGCCACAGCCTGGGAGTTTCCCTCTTATTTTCCAGGTGGCATATAAGACTGTTTTCCCACCTGATTATCAGACTGTACACAGTATGTGCAGAATGGAACATCTTAATACACATGTTTTCACACCTTATACTTAGTCAACACATCAAATGTTCCCCTTACTCTTAAATGATATTGCAATGACCCTATTGACCTACAGCTGTTGAGATCTGAAAATAAGAATATTTTATTTTTATATTCAGGACTTGATTCAGTCCTTTACAGGAGCCAAAGCTTTACGCTTTAAAGACTGTTTGAAAGGTTTGTAGGTCAGAGTATATGTAAGCCCTTTTTACAGAACTGACAAAGCAAGAAGTCTTGATTAATTTATATGATTTTGTTTTCCGGGATGTATATGACGTAGCAAAAACCTCATTTCAACTTTTAGTTATAAAGGTGATTAAAATTATTCAATATTGACACAACAACTTTTAACTCTAAATGTTTTTTTTGAACGGATATCCTTAAAGTTCTCCAACTTGTTGAATACGATTTATTACTGGGCTTGTATATCCCCTTAAGCACTTTTTTTATTGAATTTTATTAATAAAGAGTAAATAAAACTGACTGAATGTGAATGGGGATCTCATGAGCTTTTCCAACAATGGCCATAAAACTTAAGTTGTTTGTTAAAAAAAAAAACGACATAATGAGTTTAGAAATACAGGTAAATGAAACCACACATTGAAATCATGAAACTGGAATAAGGATTTATATTATTGTACATAATATTAGGAAAGTAATTTACATATTTGTATATAATCGTTAAATGACAGAAATGGGGTTTAAAATGGATAATGAAATACTGTGAATTGTTTGTTTGTCTAATAAGTTTTACCCAATTAACTCATGGGATGATATACAGTATTTATTCTAAATCAGGGTGGGCAACTGGCGGCCCCCATCAACCCTCAATGTGGCCCCCATGTCAATTTTTACATATCAATTAATTGGAAACATGAAGAAAACATGACAAAATCTGCCATGAAATCATGAAAACCAGAAATATGTCCATAATAATATTTGATCACTGGTATATGTTGCGTTAAATCTGAGACATAATCGACTGTATTCGGTTTTTGTATCCTACAATGTGGCTCCCTTGGCAGTGAGAATAAAAATGAATGTGGCCCTTGCTGTGACCAAACGTTGCCCCAGCCCTGTTCTAAATAATGAGTTGCCACTTCAAGCCAAAAGGTGTCGCTGTCAATACGCCGTGTTTCAACATTTCCACACAAGGCCGCAGAAGAAGAAATTGTAGTTTCAAGATGGCGCTACCCGGTGTTTTACTCGTGCGACTGAGAGCGCTGTGCAATGTTACAAAATGTGTTCAACCAGGAGGCCAAACTGCGTGTAACTGGAGCGATGCGTTGCGTGGGTATAAGACGAAAGCACGGGGCCTCCAGGAACACGACACGCCGTATTTACAGAGAAAACGAGGTGAGTGAATCCGGCTGGTAGCTCCTTAGCTAACAGGTGACAGTCACCGGCAGTGCAAAGCCTCAAGGGCATCATCCTGTAAAACATTGCGTTCATGTTTGTGTTCTGGCTTCTTGCCTTTGTGGTGGAGCCAAAGTAGGAGTGGAAACAAACAGTGGCTGACCTTGCTGGGTGTTTGACCTTTGTGTTTACTCTTTAGGTCACGTGGGTCCGAACCTTTTGAAGGAGTTTCCAGATCCTAAAGGTCTCTTGAATAACATCATCTCCCGTTCACTGGGAGTCAACGATCTGTCCCAGTTCATCCAGTACAGCTGCTCAGAACATGCAGGGGTTAAGGTCAGGAAAAAACTAACAAAATCTCGCACTGACATGGAGGGATCCTTAAGACACTTTATCTTCAAAAAGCTAAACATCCCTAACCTTGTGTTGTTATTTTTGTTTCTATAGAAAGCTGTTGTCACACTGCAGTGGCCCTGCAAGCTTGAAGAGGTTGGTCATGCCTCCAAGAAGACTGACGCAGAGCGACTTGCGGCTGCTGCTGCATGTCTCAAGCTAAGGGTAAGCGGAAAAATGACCAAAAACATTCAAGTTTGCATTTTGTCCGACCAGTCATGAGTGACATTCCCTTTACTCTGTTTCTTGTGTACAGGAAATGGGTGTCATTGGTCCAAACAATCAGCTACCCGGGAGGAGATCTGGCAGGCAGAGAGGGGAGTTACAGTCAGCTCTTTATGGTGATGAGTGGGACTCGACAGGAATTATCCAAATTCCTAGAGGGAAAGTGGAAGAGAGAGAAGAGCAGTGGAAAGTGGACGAGAAAGAAAAGCAGTGGTTTCCTCCTGAAGACACCTGTGACATCTCTGACGCTCTCTGCATGTTCCCTCAACCCAAATCTCTCCTCACTAGGGTGATCCAAGTGGCCACGTCATCCCACAGAATCAGGGTTGGTTGCTCCCATCCTTGGCACGATCGAAGCGAATTACTCTGGAATCATCATGAATCATAAACGAGTCGCTCTATATCCTTACAGGAGCTGATGCAGTTCAAAACGACCGGAGGGAGTATGAAGAGCTGTGAGCTGACCCTGCACTGGCCTGAGGAGATGAAGTTCTCAGCCACAGCCAAAAATCGACTGACGGCAGAACGCAGAGCTGCAGCTCTGGCCTGCATGAAACTGAAGGTGAGAAGAACATTTGCAAACCGATATTCCTTTTATTTGCATGATGGGGCTGTGTAAATGAATAATGTCATTTCTTCAGGAGCTAGAGCTGCTGGATAGAGACAACAACCCGCTTACTCATGCAAAATACCACAGAGAGAAGGTGAGGGAGGCCGGAGAGCGAGACAGACGCCCCCTCTCCCTGGAAGTCCCAGAGTACCTGGAGGAACAAATGAGGGAGTACCTTGCACAGGTCAGTCTTCTTCTCACGTTGTTTTCTGCAGGGAATTAAATGAGCACCTGTCAAATACAGTGTAAATATTGATTGAAAATATGAGATCATTTAGCCAGTTTTTTTTTTTTTTTTTAAAGACGTTGATAATGTTTGGTCGGTATATGTCACAGATGTCAGGGAAACTTCTCCAATGCAGCGTATTGTCAGATGATGATCCAGAAAGCAAGGTCATCCTCTTAATGTTCAAAAGCCAAGTAGCTTTTTCAGTTCAGTCTGTGTGAATGTGAGCTTTTTCCAACCAATATCTACTCCTCAACTAATGTTGCTTTTGCTTATACATCAAAAATGAAATCCAAGGACTACTTGTTGACATTCTTTCGTTTTGTTGAGGGGTTACTCACATGTTCCAGGTTTCACCTCTTGTGCATATCTAAAAATATCCCGACCACACAAGATTGTCGGGGAGAAATTTTGAAGTTTAAGAAGCTTCGGTAGAATATTGGTATGCTGCCCTGAGTTACCTGGACCTCAAGCTTTCCCTTTTTATGTTTAAGCGTCGCCACACGTCTGTGCAACCATCACAGATAGAAGCATAACTGAAGCCCTGTAGCACCATAGAAATACACTTCTCTTTGTCTTCAATTGTTGATACTCTTGTTTTGCTGTAAAGTTTGTGGGTTTTTTACGTCATTGTAATCATCCATGTATCGCAGTACCCAGTGGCAACAGAAGTACAAAGGCTTTGGGAGGAGGAAGAGGCGAGAGGGCAGCAGTCAGCGAACCAGGATGAGGAAGAAGAGGAGGATGTGGTGACGGACGCTATCACAGGTAGACCGTACAGGCCCCTGTCTGAACACGAGGCCCGGCAGCTCAACAGCCACCTGCTGGAGGACTGGGAGAGGGCAAACCCTGGGCTTAGTGTGGAGCTCCCAGTGGATGCCCATCGTCAGCGTGTGGTGTCGAAGGTTCAGTCCTCCAGGGTGGTTGTGATCGACGGCGAAACCGGGTGTGGAAAAACGACTCGGATACCTCGCTTCCTGCTGGAGGAGTGCGTGAGAAGCGGCGATGGGGCCAAGTGCAACATCCTGGTGACCCAGCCTCGCCGGATCAGCGCTGTGTCCGTTGCCCAACGTGTTGCTCATGAGATGGGACCAGCTCTAAAACACTCTGTGGGATATCAGGTAGATACACGTTTATGGTTTACTCTTTGTCACTTTTAGTCAGTTCCCAATAATCGTGAGAATTCACTGTAGCTCTAGAGCAAACATTCACAAACTTAAGAATGTTGCAGCTCACTTTGAAATCTAGAGATATGTTGGGGTCGATCCAAACCTTTAATTACAAAACTTTGATGGAACCAACCTTTAGTTTTCCCTTTTATATGTTTTGATTTATTAAACAGAAAGAATAAATATTCCTTCCAGACATAAAACATTTTAAGAAAATAAATGCAAATAGTGAATAAATTGTACAATTGACAAATATCCTGTATATTTTCTTTTGTTTATTTATTGTGTATGACCTCACTGCTTACCTGCAGTTCTTTCAAGTCCCATCAGTTAGCCATAGCCTGCATTTTGGGAATCACAGCTCAAGAGAGCACTTATAGAATATGTTCCTTCTATTGTTATGCTGGTGTTATTTTCAATAATGAAACTAGTGGAAAATTGTGTGAATGTTTGGAGTGTGTGTGCAAGAAGTAATTTTTTGGGGGGAATTGGGTGCTCTTCAAGAACAGGGGACAGAAGTCCAACGCATAGACACATCCCTGTTTTATAAAGGATTTTTATGCTGCGTCAGAGTGCCTCTGACTTTCAGTGTAGGCTGCCTTTCTTCACATGGACACTCATTAATTTATCAGCTAGTAATTGTTTTTTTATTAACACAGGTAAGACTTGAGAGCCGTCCACCAGAGCACAGTGGAGGAGCCTTGCTTTTCCTCACGGTGGGTGTCCTCCTGAAGAAGCTGCAGTCAAACCCCTCCCTGAAGGGAATCAGCCATGTGGTGGTAGACGAAGTTCACGAGAGAGACATCAACACGGACCTGCTGCTGGCTCTACTGCGCGCCAGCATGAAAGAGAACCCTGACCTACGAGTGGTGCTAATGAGCGCTACAGGGGACAAAGACAGGCTG